AGATAGTACAGGTTTTATTATCTCTGTTTCACATACAAAGCAACTAAGACATTGACTATTGCACAAAAAATCTAAGCATATGTAGCAATATACCAACAAGACTCACTAGAAAAAAACTTTCATTCAGATATTCCTCTTTTCGGGCGATGTTCTTTGCAAACCATAATTAAGAAGCTTATGACATCTAAGTGTGCTGATATTTCATGGGCTCTCTGTGTGTCCAAGAGAATTAAATGTCTAAAGAATCTTCAAAAAGAAACATACGATTAATTTACCTCAATGGGAAATACCTATAAAAGCAGGTGTCTTACAGCTCGCACTCAGGGCCTAACATTGTTTTAGAAGCAAACAAAATCAACTCAGCCTTACAAAAACTTTCCAAAACCATTAGGCCTGCCAAAATGCTCAGCAGCCTTCTATCAACAAATTCCTATTTTACCTTCTTATATTTATCTAATCTACACTTTCATTTTGTCCCACCACATATTCACAGACTAAGAGAGAACACGCTGACCCGAAGACAAATACAACTCTGACAAAGATTTCCACCTCCTCCCGCCCACCCCCAACAAATAAAGAAAGAGAAAGAGGGTCTCTATTAAATTTCCTATCGGCCCATTGCCTTCTTCTTATGAGGCCCACCCTGGTCTCATGATGCAGAAGAAGGAATACATAAACGTTCAGCTTTCATTTTACAACTATGGAGAAGAACCATAGCCTTGCATTTTGTAACCCAGATGTAATTAAGAAGATTACTGCTCAAATGTAAAACCGAAGCTTGTTTTTTCATATCTTTATTAGTCATATGAAAGAAAATGATTAGGTTTGCTTTGATTTCATTTAGGCGCTGGGAACACGGACTAGTGTTTGTTTTCAAGGCTGCCAACGTTTAAACCTTCCAAGCAATTTTGGATTCAACAACTGAACACATTTAACAGCTAATGTATAACACACTATGTCCTCAGTCGAAAACCCACAGCAACTCCTAAAACATTTTAAACCATAGCTTTTGTCATGAAACTATTGTAAATCTATGTTCAAAATCTTGTTTAAATTTTGTTTAAACCTTTCTGCAAGTGGATGCCCTTTGAGAAATAATTTCTGGAAGTGTTTATATCAGAGGCACTTATTAAAGTCTGAACTGCAGTTATTGCTAGGGATTTAGTGAGGCTAATCACTTTATTTCAGTTTTGGAGTCAATATTCCTTGATTCACTAACTAGAGTGCTAAGTGGAGAAATAAGTCTTCCGATTAAAGAGAATGAAAAAAGAGATTCTTAAGTTTTCAATGGAATGACTTTTCTCCTTTTCTCCTCCTTCCTCTCTTCTTTTCCTTGTTCTCTGCCAATTTGTGCCATGTGGTTCAGACAAAAGTGCCTAGGAGGCAATCTATGTGAAAAGGATGATCATAAGATTGATTTCTCAGAAGAATGACAGAATATTGATCATTGAAGTTGACTGAAGGGTTCGTGATGAGAGGATTCCTTATACTAATTTCCTATCTTTGTATATTTTTAAAAAATTGTATAACGAAAAGTAAAAAATATTTTCTTAGGCAAAAATCAGTAACCAATTAACCAAAGCAGTTAACATAGTTAATAATTTCTGAGTAACAGAATTAATGCTAAATTTTCTACTTCCTACTTGAAAAAAAACAGATACTAAATTTTAACGTTCCCTGCTCTGTACTATCAAAAGCCCTATGACGTTTTAATGTGAAAACAACTTAAAGATTTGGTAACGTTAGGCTATTTAAAGGATAATTTGGCTCCAAAAGCATAAGTTAAAACTTTTTATATAGGTGATAAAGAACATTTGTGTTTGTTTTTTTAGAAGATTACCTTTTTAGTTTTATCGGCAAATAAAATGTTAATTTCTTTGTTTCAGTTATCTATTGCTGCATAACAAACTACCCCCAAACTTAATGATTTAAAATAACAGCCAAATAACATTTGCTTGTGAATCTATAGAGCAGGAATTTGCATAGCAAGAGTGTCTCTGCTCCATGAAAGCTGGAGTCTTAGCTGGGATGACACAAATGGCTGGGAATCTGGTGGACAGCTCTGCTGGGGTCACAGGTCTGGGGCCTCACTTCTTCCTGTTGGCAGGGCTTCACAGTACTCCTCCCCATGGCCTTGCCAAATATATGACTGGACATAGTCACAGCCCGGTGGTCTCAGGGGTGGTTGGATTTCTTACATGGCAGCAGACTTTCCAAGAGAAAAAGAGGAAGCTCTCAGGCTTCAAAAAGATGGCTCAGGACTGGTACACAATAAATTCCTGCTGCATTCTATCAATCAAAGCAAATCACAAGGGCCAACCCAGTTTTCAAGAAAGGAGAACTAGATGAATCAGGATGCCTTACCTTAGCGGGGGGTAAGAGAGGTATAGGATTGTGGGCAGCCATTTTTGAAGACTATCACGTAGTGGCTCTAAAAGACCTTTATATTTGGATGTATCTGGTACTTGGAATTTAAAGCACATTGGAAAGACCTAGTGGCAAGATGTCCTCAGTTTTGGCAGCTATCTAAAAGGGGAAAGGACTTTAGGATAGTGAAATGTAAAATATCTTTAGTACCCTTTCTCACAAATTAAATAAAAATTACTAGTACAGTAAAGGCACAGAGTTTAAGTCACATTACAACGCAGATTTGGGGGGAAATGCGATTTCTTTATTCAGTCTCTAATCTGGATTTGTTCCCCCAAATGACTGTACACTGGTGAGTAGGAGAAAAAAACATATTGAGTACGCATTTTAGCTTAAAGCAATGATCTATAACCTAAACAGTCCACTAGGTAATGTTCAGCCATGCCCCTCTCCTCTATTAGTCTTCCAAAGAGAGCATCTGAGTGCATAGAAATAGAAGAACACCTTACGTGTTCCTTTGATGTTGACAGAAAGGGGCCCCTGAGCTTGTTCTAGTCTTTGTATATTTACCAAATATCCAAAGGGATACCCCTTTTTGTTCTGGTCATCGTGCCTCCTATTGGTGCTGTCATCTGTGGCTAATGAACTTATACCTCCTTTCTCCTTGGGAAAGGTTCTGGATGGTATTCCCTGGACAACTTGGCCCCCTTTACTCCTGCTGGCTGCAGATTCTAACTGCTGAGTTGTCCACCTGGACCAGTGATCCCCACCCATCCCAGCCTGTCTTGCACAATCAATCCCATTGCACAGCAGATTCCACAGCAGTCCCATGATCATTTAATACAGCACTCGTGCCACTTAAGAACTGAAGGCTGCCAGGAAAGCCTATCCCAGAGCCTGTCTGCCTGATTACCCTCTATGCAGAAAAGAATCACAGCAAGCCTGAGACTGCTATCCTTAGGCCTGCTTACGAGGTTATCCCATGGCTAGTGTCTGGCACTTGGATTTTGGGAGGATTCCCGCCATATTAACTAATAAGAATGGATCACTGTCTCTCAACTATTTGTGCAAACAATGTGGTTTTTGCTGAAGACCCGTTTTCCTTCTGGGAGCCTGGAATTTGGCACCTGCCAGGAAGAGGCTACCTTCATGACCAGCTCCCAGTAAAAACTCTGGGCACTGAGTTTCTAATGAGCTTACTGGTAAACAACATTTTACACGTGTTGTCACACCTGCTTGCCAGGAGAATCAAGTACATCCAATGAGAGTTCACCAAGAGAGGACTCTTGGAAGCTTGGGTCTGGTTCCACCAAACTTTGTTCCAGGCCCTTTTTCCCTTTGCTGATTTTACTTTGTATCTTCTCACTGTAATAAACCATAACCATGAGTACAACCACAAGCTGAACCCTGCAAGTCCTTCTAGCAAATCGCTGAACCTGGAAGTGGTCTTGGGGACCCTTGGCACATTCTCTGCCACCATGAGACTTTGATATGGTGGCATCTCAGATTCAGAATGTATGGTACAGCCTACAAGATAAGGTTGGAGGAAATCCAGAAAAGATGAAACTTGGAACTCACTTATCTTCACTTCTTTCTTCTCCTGAGTCTGGAAGGGGGATCACATTATTCACCTCCACTATATCAAAATTTACTACCTAAGGCAGGTAAGCCTGTCAACGACATCAGGAGCTAAAGAAGTAGCTTCTCTAGACTGGAATAGAAAGTCCTCATTCAGGTCAATAGCCTATCTTACAGGTTTTTTTTTCTGACTGCATAGTTGTAGGTTGCATGTTGAATATCATCCATCATGTTCTATCCACAGTCCCTGTGCAGACGGATGCTTTGAGTGGAATGAATTAAGAGCTTATAACTGCAAAAGTAAAGGACTAAAGCACAATAAAACATTTCAAGATATTACCTCCATTATATTAACTTAAAAGTTCATTGCTTTTGTTCGTATTAAGGTTAATAAAACTTTATTATGAAAAAAACTAAACGTGTGTATATACTATATATGTGTGTGTGTGTGTGTGTGTGTGTATGCATATACACACATCACCTCAAGTTAATAATACATGGTTTTCTTCAGTTTTCATGTGTTAGTTTCCAAAACTAAATTGCCATTACTTTTAATGTCAAAAACCACAACTGCTTTTGCACCAGCCTAATAATTTTACTTCATAAATTTTATCTTTTGTTTTTCAATATAGAAAAGAGATTCACCTAATCAGAGCAAACCCACTGGCAAATTTTCTCTTGTAAAGCGATTTTAAATAAAATACTAAATTTAGAACATCACTAAATGGCAGTGTTTAATGTTGTACATGATCCAACAAGTTTTTAATATATTGAGTCAAAAGTAAATTTTACTGATGGTCCAAAAATAATAATCAGGCTGAGTGATCAGTTTTACCTGGGAAGGCTGTAAACATGAAGAAAAGAACATTAAAATAAAACAACTAGTGACGAGAACATTCCCATAATGGCGAGTGCCATGTCCCTGGGAGAGCACATATCCTTGTAATAACCCCTTCTTCAAACTCAGTCTCTCCTTACCTTCTTTGCTTCCAAAACAACCTTCTCCCCTGCATACTAAATAAGGAGATAAATGCACTCAAGCAAGCAAGCATTACCTGGATTCCACGAGGTAAAAAATAACGTGGTGAGGGTCTTTTAGAGGAGGTTAGTTGTTCTCATGCAGCATAGTCTGATTTTAGTATCACCTGCTTTCATTTGGAATTAAGGAGAATCCAAAAATAAATGAACTGGCTCAGAACCACTTGATGAAAATAGTGTTGAAAGGCCCTGTCTCCAGCTGGCCGCCACACTGCAGAACCATGGCTGGGGTCCCCACCTCCCTCCTATTTCCCTTCCTATGTGAGAGCAGCTCATTCCTGCTGCCAGTGCATATTTAACATGAAATTCTTCAAGTACCACTGCAAAGCATCCAGCAAACACACCACCTCTAAAGTTAGTCTTACATATGTAGCCAGAGACATGGATAAATATAGAGACCTAGAAATATATACAGAACGCCAGAAAAACGTGCTCTGGGCCAGAAACATATTGTGAATATGCAAATATCTCAGTGTCTGGTACTGACGCTCTGCCCTTTAGCACTTGCCTAACTCCATCTTTCTCTCTTTTTCTCTTTGCACCGCGTCCCCCCGCCACCACTATCTTCCCATCTGTTTATTTTTTCCAAACTTTCGTTTTAAAAAATATGGTATCACCGCTTAAAAATAAGAAAAATATGGTGCCACAAATACGGCTGCCAGGTGTAACATATGATGCTGCTTCTGGGAGTCAGGGAACAAAATGTATAAAGGAGGCTGCATTCAAATTTTCTTACAAAGGTTACCGGAAATGGATTTTATCCATTTTATCTGAACTCTGTTGGTTCCTGGTTAGATTTCAGGTCTGCTTTGTACTTTAAAGAAATTGTATAATCCAGGCCTTGTCATCAGCTTTCTTAATTTATTTCCCTGAAATGACAGGCCTGGCAGAGGCAAGTCTGCCTCTCAAATGTCTGGATTACAGTGTAGCTATGGAAACAGGTGTTAAAGGGGCATGGATGTCAAGTTACACTGGTACTTTGCACATCGCGTTCTATGCGGACAGCATGTTATTTTACATGCTGACCGATGCAACTGCATCCCTGTGCTTGATTTACAGGAGACCATCACAAAGGAGATCTGCCTCGAGGAAACTATCAGATTGGCCCAGGATGGAGAATGAAAACAGCAATTTGCTATGTTCTCTAAAGCTCTGATTCAAGTTCCCTAGTCTGCCGAAAATAAATAAATAAATAATTTGACATGAAAGAAATGAACAAATAAATAAAATTAAAGAAGAGACAGGGAAATCAGAATACATTTTTATTCTGTTGGGTAATTTTCCTTTTCTTGTCTAAAAGGAAGAAGAATGAGAAGAATATTTTAAGAAACAATCCTGCTCTAATTCATATACCCTGTCTGTAACTTTCATGAGTATACCTGTTCACGGTATTAAAGACCTAGTGAATCTCAGCATCATTATATAGGAGAAGCCATTTTCAATAACTTGCTATAAACAATGCTCTGCATTAATCTGACCTACTCAGAAAGAGAAAGAAGCAAAGGAACAAATAGTTCTGGAGGAGCCACTGTGTGCTGGCCTAGTGATCAGACATGAGTTATTGTATTTCATTTCATCTTTACAAACAGCACTGCAGGGGAGGTATAATCCTTGTTTTATGTGAAAGGATACTGAGACTCAGAGAGGTTAAGTAATATGCTCAAGGCCTCAAGGTTACAAGTGCAACAGCCAGAATTCAATCTCAGGTTTGTCGACAAAGCCCATGTTCTTTCCGCTAATCAACCTAGGCAGTAAGTTTAGGGCATGTAAGGGCAAACTGGCATGCCCTCTCCCTGGCATGCTTCCCCTCACTTCAGCTGGTTTCAGAAGACAAGGTGTCACATCGCAGGCTGGGCCACAATAATTAGGTGTGGTCCCTTGGCACTCACATTATGTTGGCCAGACTCCAACTTCTATCCCTATTAGCATTACTCAATTGAAATTGTATCCGATCCTCGATGAGTTATTAAATCAAAATCCAATTTAAATTGATATTGAGAAACTATACTTTTAAAAAGCAGTGGTATAAAACCTAATGGATCCTATCTGCTTACTTTATAAATACTTGTGGTGATTTTTGATGCATCATTGATCTTCTGACAGGCAAAACAAGAATAAGAGCAGAGGTATTCCCAAATCCACATGTATATACATTTTAAAAAAATTAAATTTATGCCTCTGAAAAGTTGTGGTGAGATACATTTGCATTCACCTTAATGTGATCATTTACATGCAAAAAAGTCTAATATAGAAGAAGCTAACTGATTTACAGGTGTCTATCCATGTCTATCTGACAAGCAGATAAAAAGATTCTCAAATAAAACAACCCTAAAAATTAAAGAAGGTTGTTGTGAACTGGCTATTGAAACTAGCAGCAATTGGAAAGTTATAGCAAATTCTGCTTTACTACCATTGCTGTACTTATAGTTTCTTTTGAAAATCTATACCAATATATAGTAAAGATGTAAAGCAACATTACCAGTAATAGATTTTGGCCTCAAGTTCCAGTATTCAAATTGTGCATCTTTCAATCCTGAGGAGTTGTTGCCGCAATCTCGGCAATGTCCTGAGGAGTTGTTGCCACAATCTCGGCAATGACAAGCCAGTTCAAAGATGCAGCTGTACCTGTGCAGTGAGATCTATCTTCCCCTTCCCTGGAGTAGGGCTGGTTTTAGAGAGGCTAACCAGCAAGCCTGAAAGAGTGGTGTTGATCAAAGTCAGAGGAAATGCATCTCAGTTTTCTAATTAGGGAGCTTCCTTCAGTGTATTATTTGAGATTCAATTTCAATTGATTGGGATATGGGGGAACATTTAAGAAGTGTATGTGTTACATGTTGAAGGAGAAATGGAAATGCATTCATTGTGATGACGTGGCTGGTATTGAAGGACTAGTGAGGCTCCCTGAAAGTTCTTACAGGGTCTGCTTTGCAGAATAGGAACTTGGTGGAACAGAGAAGGAGAATTTGGGCAGCACTCAGAGCACCTGACACAATCCAAACCACCTTCTGAGACACAGAGAAAGAGAAATTAATACTATGTATATGCATTATCCTTTTGGACATTTAAAATGCCATGGAAAATTGCTCTTATTATTCCTATTATTAAGTGGTGATGTCAGGATTTGAACCCAGGCATACCTGCTACCCCCTGGGCTCCTGCTTTGTTTAAGACCATATGGATTATCTGTCCTGCCTTGCCTGAATTGTGGTCATGCCAAGCCTTTCCTTGAGAGTTTAATTACACACCAATGAGCCCAGATTCTAAGTCCACAGCACTTAAAATTAGCAGAATTCTATACTCAGTCACTCCTTGGATAGCCTGTTTTCTACCATTCATCAACTCGAAATATATTCCAATTTGATAAATAGGATTTTCTTTTCTTTTTCACCTCAGCTTTGAAATAGCCCCTTTACATCCATTTAGGAAATAATGATCTTGGAGGCAGTGGACACAACAAGCTTTTCCTTTGAGGTCCAGAAGGATTTATTTGTAAACATCCATTCATTCAACATTATTTGAACACCTACCAATATGGTTTGGCTGTGTCCTCACCCAAATCTCATCTTGAATTCCCACGTGTTGTGGGAGGGACCCCGTGGGAGGTAATTGAATCATGGGGGCAAGTCTTTCCTGTGCTGGTCTCATGATGGTGAATAAGTCTCACGAGATCTGACAGTTTCATAAAGAGGAGTTCCCCTGCACAGCTTCTCTCTCTTTGCCTCCTGCCATCCATGCAAGAAGTGACTTGCTCCTCCTTGCCTTCTGCCATGATTGTGAAGCCTTGCCAGCCTTGTAGAACTGTAAGTCCATTAAACCTCTTTCTTTTGTAAATTGCCCAGTCTCGGGTATGTCTTTATCAGCAGTGTGAAAATGGACTAATACACCTACTATGTGTTCAGTATGTTTAGTGTTATGAAATGCAAATGATTTTAAGTAACTTACAGTCTAGTTGAAAAGGCAAGCCAGTTATTATCTGGACAGTACAATAACAGAGGCATGTACAGAATATTTTGACAATAGGAGAAAGGGGCAGATAAGTCAATATTCAAAGATGGGGAAAGGTGGATGGGAGCATTAAAGAAGGTTTCCTGGGGGAAGTCACATGTAATTCATAAGCAGGGGTTCATTCTGTATGTTAATAATTGCATAAACTGTGTTCATGATTCAGCTCCAAATTATACTGTCCCATCATATTAGCATAAGAACAAGTACTCTGAGGTTGTATTCTTTTTTTTTTTCTTCAGTCTCCAGTTTATGGGAAAATAAGTTAGATTTATAGGAAACTTTACTCAGACACACTCACACTCACATGCACACGCACACACCCTAGGTGGGACAATGTGCTGCTGCAATTGCTTCAATCCCACATCAGCTCACACAGGGCACTGGGAGGATGGGCATCCACTTCACCCAATGTTGCTTCCAGTAAGGATCAAGTGGTGTATGTTTAAATTAGGCAAGGCAACATGGGTCTGCAACTGACCAAAGTCAGAGAAACAACAGAGAAGTGTCACACCTAGACGTTCTGTTGCATGCAGGCTTAAATTAACTCTTGTGTACGTAACTCCAGGTCTTTTTCTCCAAGTCCTAACCTTTGGTCTGTGGCACAAAACTTTCCAACATTTCTCTCCAGACCATCCCCCCCAAAATAGAGCTGGCTAGACCACGGTTGGGCTTCACCTGTAAATTAGCATTCATTCAGGTATCATTTTATCTGAGTAAGCTTTTCGTTTTGTTTCGTAATAATAGCTTTTTCATAAAGTATGGCCTCAATGCCCAGACAACCAGAAAAGGTACAGTTTGGCACATATGGACTTTCTCTGCAGTTTGATTAAATCCCAAGTGAATTCTTGGCTTACCTCATTTCCTTGCTAACAAGAATGCAAACATTCTCTGGTCTTCCCTCCTTATTTTGTCTGTTTCCCCAAAGGTCCTGGTGACTGGCACATGTTCCCTAGAGGTACTGATTTCACACATTCCATTGGGCTGTATTACCCTGAAATATTTCCCCCTTTTCATGCAATAAATACTCCACCCCATCCGTACAAGCCACTCAACATATGTAGGTGTTCATATATCACTAAGTAATGAATACAGGATATATATGCCTCTGTATACTAGGTTATGACAAACCTATTTACAATTATAATCCCCTTGCCATTTGGTATCTGAAAATCTGTTGGTGTCTAGAATAAATTTTCATTCAATGCACTGATACATATAATTGGTATATGGGCCAACGAGTTGT